CTCTTACCTCAAGCTACACTGAACACAAGCCGTCAAATATGGCGTTCCAAGCCGTCAAATATGGCGTTCCCTTTGCTTAAAACACTTCCTCTTTTCTTCCTCACTGTCTCCTACTTATACTCTCAGTCTCCACTTAAACACCTCTTACCCCAGGTCGCCTGCTGAAATCCATATCCCTCACCGCCAAACCAGTTGAGTGTCCCTACTGTTTTGTTTTATTGTTATTTTTTTTTTAATGTAATTGTCTGCCTGCTGGGATAGGATCATAAAGCATTCAAGAGAAAGGCAATTCTGAAGATTCCAGAACAGGGCTGCTGATTCCTCCCTGCCCATCCTGGAGCCAGTATTTGGACGCTCTGGAAGTTTGCTCTGCTGTTGCTCAGCTCGTTCCTGTATCAACCTCTGCCGAAAGTAAACTCATTCTTCTGGAAGGTTCTAGAGTGGCAGTTTCTAAACTGGGATACACTCACTCTGGGGTTTGTGTTGGAATAAAGGGTCTAGCGGGGTCCGATGGAATTCTATTTGCCATGTTAAATAAGAAATAAATTAAGCTTTACTACTATTTGATATGTGGTCCAGCACTCGTACCATCACCTAGACCAATGTCAGAAGATCATATATCACCTTCAGTGATGTGTGACACACCTGAAAGCAGACTGGGAGTATCACACAGTGGAAACGTGCAGTGATGCTTTCCCCCCGTCCACTTTTTTTTTTAAGTTTATTTATTTATTTTGAGAGAGAGAGAGCAAGCGGGGAAGGGGCAGACAGAGGGAGAGACAGTATCCCAAGCAGGCTCTGTGCTGTCAGCGCAGAGGCTTGGGCTCATGCACCATGAAATCATGACCTGAGCTGAAATCAAGAGTCAGAGGCTTGATTAACGGCTAAGCCACCCAGGTGCCCTGACCCTGTTCACTTTTGAAGTTTGTGACAATGTCTAGCTGTTTACTTGACCTGATTAAATGTGGGTACAGATTACATTTGCTAGCTTTAACTAACTAACTAATGCTCAGGAATGGATTCCCAAAAATAAACTGGGAATTAAAGACAACACTATCAGAATTTCCTGTTCCTTTCCTGGTATGAACTTTTTTCTTTTTTGGCACCACATTATGTTGTAAAAACAATGACACCCTGATCAGGAGTTAGTTAAAAAAAAAAATCATCACAAAGACTGTTTGAAAAATGTCTTTATGTTATTTGTTATTAACCATGCATCTTGCCCTAAATCGTATTACCTAATTGACGGTGTGACACCATCCCTTTAGGAAGGCCATAAAAGCAAACCTCTGCAAGTGTTTCAAGACAGTGTTTAAGTCATCTGCTACTTAGTCACTCCAGGTCTTTGCGAAATTTCATAATTGATGACAATGTTTGAAGCTGCCTTCGATGTTCTCATGTAACAGACAAAAAGCAAACGGCTCCATTTTGGAAACATTTACTCCACTTGCCACTATGATGCCTAGTCATTTGTCAACAAATGCTATCAGAAGGTGTCTAGAAAATGTGGCTGAAGATTTGAAGAAACAAAAGTTAAGCGTCAGGGGTGCCTGGGTGGCTCAGTCTGCTGAGCGTCTGACTTCTGTTCAATCTAGCTGTAAATGTAAAACTGCTCTAAAAAATAAAATCTATTCACTTAAAAAATTTGCAATAAGTAGTCATGAACTATAACCAATTGAATACAACAAGAATCTAGGAGTCATATCAATAATAAATGGAAAGAAGAGAAAGCCCTTTCCTACAATATGTCGACCAGTACTTGTATTTAGAGAAGAAAGAGTGGGAAATTATCATTTCACAACCACCAGATTAGCCTGGTGCAGGCAGACTGATGATTAACAGATGCTAATTCTAGATGTAAAAGTTTGATAAAGAGCCAGGTATTTGCAAGATTTCAGGGTGTCTCTCCACAGATTAGCTGCAAGGGGAAAAATAGTAACTATACAGTAGAGAAATTGGGTAACACCTACACCATCTAATCTAAAATTAGCATTATCAATGAGAGGCTAATGAATAGAGCATGCCTACACAGGGGACAGATATCTGAGAACACCACACAACTTATGCAGTATTCCAGCCAGGGATGTGTAACCTAAACCTAATCATTACAAGCATCGGACAAGCCCAAATTGAGTAGCATTCTATAAAATAATTGGCTTGTATTAAAAAGCGGGGGCAGTGTTGTGAAGGACCAAGGGTGAGCAAGCTTAAAGAAGTTCAGGAAAATAATCCATTTGAATTGGAGAGAGAGAGTACAAACGCGGCAGAATATGAACAGTTTGGTGAACCTGAGCAAAGGGTAGGAAGCAATTCTCTTATTACTTTTGCGACTATTTTTGTAAAGTTGAAATTATTTCAAAATAAGAAGTTAAAAAAAAAACACATCTTATGGAAAAACTCCCAGTGTAACCTGTGACGAATCATTTGGACTTGAATAAAGCAGGTGGAGGGCAAGGTCTGGGTTAAGGTTACAGAACTAGCATCACGGGGGGGAATTAATTCATGTTTTATCCATAGACAAACTGTTACAGCAAGTAAGTTGAAAGGAATACTTGGAATAATACAATATATCGTATTAAGATGGAGAAAGACATTGAAAATCTTCTGTGCCATACAAATGCTGTCAACTTAAAAGACGAATTAATGTTTTCTTTTTTTTACAAGATATTGACTGACTATCTCTCTGGCAACTGGATTACACTAATATGTTCTGTACCAACATGAAAAAATAAACCATTAAATCCTTTAAAACTGCTTTTATTATGAGCAAATGAAAATCAAAATAACTTATATAGTTATACACACACACTATATATATAACTCTTACAGTAATTTTTTTATGTGTATTTATTTTGAAAAACAGTGTGAGGGAGGGAGGGGCAGAGAGAGAGGGTGACTGAGAATCCCAAACCAGGCGAGCCTGACAGGGGGCTCGAAACTTGAGTAACTGTCACATTCTAAACTACATTTGGAGTATTTCTTTATGGATGTGATTTTTGTTGCCGAACATGCTGTGTGCATCTGTAAAAAAAACTCTAGCTTCCCATTTTTAAAGTGGGGGAGGGGCATCTGGGTGGTTTAGCCTGTTGAGCCTCTGACTCTTGATTTCTGCTCAGGTCTTGGTCCCAGGGTCATGGGAGCCTGCTTAAGACTCTCCTCCCTCGGCAAACCATGAGAGACTCTTGAATGCTGAGAACAAACTGAGGACTGATGGGTGTCGGGGGGAGGGAGGGTGATGGGCATGGAGGAGGGCACTTGTGGGGATGAGCACTGGGTGTTATATGGAAATCAGCTTGACAATAAACTATTTATTTTAAAAAAGAGAGAAAAAAAAGACTCTCCTCTCTCCCTCTGCCCTACACTCCCCCCGACCCCCCTCCCCCGCTTAAAAAATAAAGTGGGGTGGTGGGAAACTGTCAACGTATTTTAAAATATTTCAGATGGACTGTTTGAGTTCATGAAATGTTTTGTGCCCATTGTTTTAAACATAATAGTGCAACCTATTCCAACTAGTTTGCAAGAACAACTTTTGGACAACAGGAAACGGAAATTTTAATTAAAAACCTTAAGTTGAAAAGTCATTGGAAAGTCTTTTAAAGTAGCTATGATTTTGTAAGTGCAACTAGGAATTTCCTTTTTCCATTTGGCCTCACATATTCTCCTGGGGTATTTTTCCATCCACGACATCCTTAAAACAAAGAACTGCCTGGGGCACCTGGTGGCTCAGTCAGTCAAGCGTAGTGATCTCAGCCTGTGAGTCTGAGCTCTGTTGGGCCCTGTGCTGACAGCTCAGAGCCTGGAGCCTGCTTCAGATTCTGTGTCTTCCCCTCCTCTCAAAAATAATAAATAAACATCTAAAACAAAACAAACAAAAAACAACTGACAAACTCAGAATCAAACCTAAAACTTTCCTGAATCACAAAGTAATAAGTTTTTGGTTTAAAACCAAAAATGAGGCTTAACAACTGGTTAGATTTACTAAAAATCATTTTTCACTTAAAACGGCTGAATTTCATGGTATGTAAATTATACTGCAAAGTTGTTTCTGGGGGAAAATCCAAGTACATCGTTCTCTACAAATATTCATTTTATCACATAATTGATCATGCTTAGTTATAATTAATAGCTATCTCTGCTTATTTCGTCTCTCATCCTTTTTATTTTCGTTTTGCATATTTCAGTAACGTACAGAATCTATTATTAAAGCGTTTAAATAACCATTTGAATGGTGGATCCATAGTGTGTTTACAGCTAAGGGAAAGCGATCGAAAATGCTTCGATACCCTGTCCTGGAGCCCACCCCAAGCCCGGAGGCCGTCAGGACTCTCTCCAAGGGTCTCGGGCGCCTCTCGGCCAGGTCGCGCCCGAAACGACTGCTCGAGACATCTTGGTTTAACTATGGACACTCTTGCCTTCGTTCACGGCGCTCGGCACAGAAGCGGCCTGGCCTGCTCAGCAGCTTCCTCATTCCTGCCTCCCTTAACCCCCTAGCGGCCCCGACACCACGTTTCCAAGCCCGCCCCCGGCAATTAGAGGACAGAGGTTGGGTAACTCCTGGGCCCCAAGGCCAGTGCAAGCTCGCCGCATTCTAGTTAGGGTCAAGGCCTCCAGTGGGCGTGGTCTTTCCGGAAGGAGAGGGCGGACCGCCTTGGGCGGTCACTGGCGGGAAAGAGGAAAGGAGAAGGACAACAGACTCCCCACGGCCGTTCCGGCAATGAACGTGAAGTTCACCACCCTCCCCGCCGGCATCCACCAGCGCGCGGGACTCACCCGGCGGCGCGTGCGCGTGCGCGGAGGGTGGGGCGAGCGCGGAGGGGCGGGGCGAGCTCGGGGGCGGGGCGAGCGCGGGGCGGGGGCGAGCGCGGGGCGGGGGCGAGCGCGGGGCGGGGGCGAGCGCGGGGCGGGGGCGAGCGCGGGGCGGGGGCGAGCGCGGCGGGCACCGGAGGTGAGAGCGCGGTGGGCGGAGCGGAGGGGTGGAGCGAGAGGCTGCCTTTGCTCCGAGGGTTGCCTAGCATTGTGGGGTTCTGCCGGAGGTGATCGAGGATGTGAGTGCCCCGGCCGGCGGCGGCCAGCGGAGAATGTTCTCCCTCCTGGGCGCAACGACCCTGGTGCTGGTTGCTGGAGCGCCGTGGGCTTTGCCCGCAGCCCCAGGTGAGAAAAGGGTCCCGGGCCGGGGCAGGAGGCTGGGCGGTGGGGGCGCTGGAAGCCTCGGCACTGGGAGGCCGGTGGAAAGGGCTGACGTTTGGGAGACCTCTGCTCGTCCGCGGTCACAGCGCTCAGATCGAAAATCAAGAGAAAAGCAGGGTTCGAGGATCCTTCCACGCCGCTTGCTTGGGGGCCAGCGTACCCTTCCCCCCGCAGGGGACGCCCTCCGCGCCGTCCCTCCCCAGGCTTCCAGCCGCTAAGTGGTGGGTGTGCGAGAGCCTTCCTGTCGCCTTCGTGCCTCTTCGAAAAATCCGGCAGCTCAGCTAGACCCTTAAACAATAACCACGGCTTTAGCCGCGAGCTATGCTGCTGTTCCTGAAACAGTGTCTCAGTTCAATAAACAAGTTATCCAGTCCCACGTAGGACGGGGATTAATGATTGCAAGAATTTCTCTGCCCTCAGGATTCGTACCATCTAATAAAAAGTAATAATAAAAGAAAAATACGCAGCCAAAATACAGAGGCTGGGACCACCAAGCTAGTTTGCTGCCTTTATTAATACTTAGATACATCAGGGGAATGACAGCTATGATAACGATTGACTTGGTGTCGTGAGGAGAGGAACCCAAAGAGAAAGAGGGCGTAGCATCATAGGGCAGGAATCCAAGGGGTCTGTGAGCCGCCTGATAGGTTCAGAATACCTGTTTGCTTAGAAAACCGTACCCCGATGTGATCGAATGGTACCCTATTTCTCAAGCTCTTACACAAATATAGTATATATAGTGTATGGGTACTATGATCCTGGTATAACCCATGGTGATTTTTGGAATCCTTTTGTTGTTAAAATTTTTGTATTCAGCTCGTTGTGCTTTGATATAAAAAGAATTTCCCCCAGAGTTTTCAGGTAAAACTGATATTCCAAGAAGCCGTACATTGGGATTCTTATTTTAATCGAGATTAGGGGAGAGCTGCTAAAATAAACGTTATATACAGCTGGCATTTATTGTAATCTTAACTATGTGCCGGCCACTGCTCTGGGCCTTTTAAAGGTATAAACTCACTTAGTGTTCAGTACTAAGCTACGCACTCATTTTACAGAAGAGCAGACTGAGACATTGAATAGCTTGCCTAAGGCCATACAGCTAGCGAGTGGCTGAAGGTGAAATTAAACTCTGGGAATCTGCCTCAGAGCCAGATTAAGACCAGTTTGTTTTCCTAAAGGTTAAACAATTTAAATTCTTGATTATCCACCATTATTGTTAAGGGCCCAGTTATCTTTCAATTAACTAATGTACTTGTGTTTCTCAAAGGGATAGCAAAATGTTTGAAATGAAGTGAAATATTGACTCTAACTTGAGATCCTAATGTTGCTCTCTTTCAAACTCATAAAAATATTCATACTTTTTAAACCTATTAAATGCAATTCTGGACCCTAGCCTCAGAAAATTATCCAAAATATCAGAGGAAATTTATATTTGGGAGGATGTACGTGTTTGGATTTATGTCAGACTTAAAAAGGTAGTAAATCATTTCTGATCATAGGTAGACATGTGAAAAGTTGGAAGCAACCAATTGTGTAAGTAGACGTTTTGGATTAAGTACCCGCATATAGATCTTACATAGTACAAAGGTGAAATAGATTAATCCAAAGAGTATTGCTGACAGTCATAGGACAAAATCTGTGAAATCAAAAATGGTATTTAATAATTGTTTCCAAGTCTCTTTCCATTTATCAGTCAGTTATTTTGGTGGTCTCCCAAATGCCGAGATGCCCCTAAGTGTACGGTTTTCTTCCTTTAGGTGTAGAAAGACTATGTCCCAGAGGAAATCCATGACTCTACCCCATTAACGCCGTAAGGCCCAGAATTTCTGGAATTAGACTGGTTTAGAATGGAGACTACAAATACCTTTAGATCTTTTCTTGATTCCTATAAAGCCAGTCACCACCCTTTGTCTGCATAGAATCTATAAATTACAACCAACGGGATGGGAATTCAGTTTAGAGGAGTGCAGTAAGGAAGAGTATTCTCCGAGATAAAAATCGCAGAGAAAATGAATGTAGAAAAGAAAATTGAGGGAGGGGAAGCCTCAATGAGGAGCTCCTCAAATTAAAAAAAGATTTTTCAGAAAATGTTTTCTCAGATGCCTTCCCTTTTGACCGCATCCCATAATATCTCTAGCTGGAAAATAGAGGAAGCAGTCCCAGTAAAGAAAGTTCTACATATGGACTCCTGTGGTAGAAAGTCTGCAAGGAGATAAATGCTTGCCCTGTGGCAGAAGTAAAAGCTAGAAATACTGTAGAAATAAATGTAAAAGCCAGTCTTTAAAAAACTGTAGCTTGTCTTAATGAAAGATCAGTCCTTTGTGATGTTGAAGAAATTCCTGTGAACCCAGCATTAGGCTGAGTAGTCTGAGAAATGCAGATTAAGTATGAAGCTATATAGACTCTGCCCTAAGGAATTTGGAATCTGATGGCAGATATGTGTTTAACACAAAGAAGCAATTGAGCTTTGTTTTTTTGGTTTGTTTGTTTTTTTGAAACATCTTCATTCAGTGAGGTTTGAGGTCATGCTAGAAGTCAGGTACTGTGTGGAGTATCCAGTGTGAACTTGAGCAGATGGATTCCTGCTACAGCATGTACAGAAAGCAAGATTAGCATGGGCTGCAGTATTTGAGCTTCCGTGAGCTGGGTCTTGGTACGTAGTTGGGTAGTCAGAGAGGAAGAAAAATTCAGGTTGGAGGGGCCAAAAGAGAAAAATAAGAAGACAGGATATTCAACGGAGGGAAGATTTGTCTTCGAACTATAAGAAATAAAGTGGATCTCTAGATGGAAGTCCTTAAAAATAAACAGAAGGGTTCAGGCTTGTTATGAACGCCTTTGCAAGTTCCTATAGGGCTTGGCCGACATGGTAAACATTGATACCTCTGTCTCTCAATTTTGTTACGTGAATATTTGGTTTCTGTGAATAGCTGTTCGCTCTGAATCACACCTGTCTTTTTTTTTTTTTTTGTAATGTTTTTTTATTTATTTCTAGGAGAGAGAGAGAGAGACAGCATGAGCGGGGGGGAGGGTCAGAGAGAGAGGGAATCACAGACTCTGAAACGGGCTCCAGGCTCCGAGCTGGCAGTCAGCACAGAGCCCGACGCGGGGCTCAAACCCACGAACTGCGAGATCATGACCCAAGCGAAAGTCGGACGCTTAACCGACTAAGCCACCCAGGCGCCCCTGAATCACACCTGTCTTATTCTGTATCAGAATATATGAAGCATGAACATAGAATGTGAAACCAAGCGGAGGCTGTATACTGTGGAACCCCGTATCCTTTCATCACTTCTAAGATCAAAGAAAATTTTTATACAGACTATTTTTTCCTTTTTTTTTTTAACCTTAATTAAAGAATACTTTTAGTGCTAAAAATTGCCAACCATCATCTGAGATTTCAGCAAGTTGTAATCTTTTTGCTGGTGTAAGTGGAAGGCTTTTTTTTTTTTTTTTTAATGTTTTATTTATTTCTGAGAGAGCACAAGTAGGGGCGGGGCAGAGAGAGAGAGACAGAGACGGAGGGATCTGAAGCAGGCTCTGCGCTGACAGCAGCAAGCCCAGTGTATGCCTTGAACTCACAAACCTCAGACCATGAGATAGATCCTGACCTGAGCCAAAGTCGGACGCTCAACTGACTGAGCCCCCTAGGCGCCGCGTGGTCTTTTTTTTTTTTTTTAATTTTCATTTATTTTTGTCATCATGATGGGGGCACTCTTTAATCCCCATCACCTAGTTCACCCATCCTCTCCCTCCCTCCCTGCTGGCAAGCATTCTTTCCTTCATTCTCCTCTCCGCAGTTAAGAGTCTGTTTTGTGGTTTGTCTCTTTTTCCCTTTGCTCCTTGTGTTTCTTAAATGGCACATATTAGTGAGATCATATGTGTTTGTCTTTCTCTGACTGACTGACTTTGCTTAACATTGTATTCCCTGGCTCTCTCCATGTTGTTGCAAATGGCAAGATTTCATTCTCTTTTAAAACTGAATAGTCTTCTTTTTCTATTCATCTACTGATGGACACTTGGGCTGTGCCCATAACTTGGCTATTATAGATAAAGCTGCAGTAAACATAGGGATGCGTGTATCCCTTTGAATTAGCATTTCATATTTTGGGGGTAAAGAGACTTTTTTTTCAATTAAAAGACAGTGCTGATTTTTCTTTATTTTCTCCAGGTTTACTGAGCTATATTTGACATACAGGGCTTACTTTTGTAGATTAAAAAAAATCTCAGCCTTCTCCCAGCTGTCTGCAGTCCAGGGATATAATTAGCAGCCTCCCTGGGTTGAGAGCAGTCATAGATTGGGGGGGGGGGGAGTTCTAGATTTTTGTATACACTTTGTTATATCTAAATGCATTCATTTTTTTTTTTATGTTTTATTTATTTCTAGGAGAGAGACAGCGTGAGCAGGGGAGGGTCAGAGAGAGAGGGAGTCACAGACTGAAACAGGCTCCAGGCTCCGAGCTGGCAGTCAGCACAGAGCCCGACGCGGGGCTCGAACCCACAAACCGCGAGATCATGACCCAAGCGAAAGTCGGACGCTCAACCGACTAAGCCACCCAGGCTCCCCTGAATGCATTCATTCTTTAATCAGTGTTATGAAAGGAAGACTCACGTTTTAAAGAATATCCACAGTGTATATGTAACCGTCTTCTTTCTTGTTGCCTGTATTTATAGGGGGAACAGATCTAAAATCTCCTCAAAATGTAGAGGTCCACATCATTGATGATACCTTCACCCTGACGTGGGACGAGAGCAATCCAGCTGTCGAGAACGTGACTTTTTCAGCAGATTATCAAGTGTACGTGACTCTACTGATTGGTTTCGGAGAACCATCTGAATGATCTTAAACGATTGTAACACTCATTCACTTCTCAGAGCTGGGGAACTGTTGGCTTTTCCATCTTTTACAGAAATTTTACGTCTGGGTAATATTTCCACCTTCACTTCTACAGATTCTTCTTAGGGTGTTGCAGCAAAAAAGGTTTGGAGGATTAGGATGGCAGACAGCTCCTGTAGACCACACTTCTCTCTTCTAGACGCTCCACCTTCTTTGAGTATAAGTTAGGGTCGGGACTAGAACATGTCTTGAGGATATGGGAGAGCGCCCCAGAAGGTCTCTCCACGGCCTTGGGATAGGCCACCGGCACCCCGATCAGGCACCCCGATCAGGCACCACGGTCAGGCCTTAGCATCTCCATCATACACACCGTTTTTGTTTTACATACAGGACTTCGCGTTCCCACCAGACTCTGTTTCCAGAGTTTCTGCCTCCTCCCTGGTGCTTTCTACTTAATAGCTGCCAATGATTGGGCTGGTGGGGAGTTGCAGAAGGAAGGGTTATAGAAGGAACACAGCTCAGGAAGCGCAGAACTTTGCTTTGGCGGGGGCAGGGGGTCCTGGGTGCTAACTGCCCACGGCGCTCCCCGTCTGAGAAAGAGCGGCCGGTGATCGGGCAGCAAAGAAACAGGGTGCAGGACCCCCAGAGCCAGGATGGCCGCACGTCAGCCGCAGCCCCCGCACTCTCGTTCCCCTGTCGCTTGCTCTTTGGAGTTTTGTTTGTTTAAGTTTATTTATTTATTTTGAGAGAGAGAGAGAGAGAGAAGGAGCAGGGGAGCGGCAGAGAGGGGAAGAGGGTCCGAAGGGCTCTCTCTCTCTCAAACTAGATAAACATTGAAAAAAAAGAAAAAAAGAAGGTTGTTAGAAGTATATAGAGCAGTTGTATGGAAGGTGCTCAGAAGCCATATATTGGGGCGCCTGGGTGGCTCAGTGGGTTGAGCATCTGACTTTGGCTCAGGGCATGATCTCACGGTTTGTGAGTTCGAGCCCCGCGTCGGGCTCTGTGCTGACAGCTCAGAGCCTGGAGCCTGCTTCGGATTCTGTCTCTTCCTCTCTCTCTGCCCCTCCCCCACTTGTGCTCTGTCTCTCTCTGTCTCTCAAAATATATAAATGTAAAAAAAAAATTAAAAAAAAAGGAAGGTGCTCAGAACACTGGTGTGGAGTTAAGGGATCAATGGAAGTGTGGTTTAATAGCAGCAGCAAACAAGTATTTTTTAATGTAGTGTTTCTCACAACACAGGGCACACACACTGGGGATAAATGATACACAGACTCTTACGTGAGCTGGTAGGATTCCCGTGTCTGTAGAACATGTGCTAATTCCTCAGTGTTTGTGACCCATATCTAAAGTGTATTATGATGTATGTAGCGTTTAGTGCCGATTCTCTCATTCAGTGAACCCCGAGTGCCTTCTATGCCAAACTCTCTTCTGGGCACTGAGAATGTATCTGTGAACAGGGAGACAAAGATGACATGTAATTCTATTATGACACTGATTTTATGAAATGAGTTTTATATTGGTTACATAATCACTTTCAAATTCTGTTCTGATCTAAATACTTTTATGATGAAGTTGAGTTTGGGTGTTTGGGGGTTTTGTTTTTTAAGTAACATAAACACAGCTAAGCTGCCTTAGCTCCCTTATATACAAAAGCATTGGAATCCAGTAACTGTATCTCCCGGAACAGGAAAGAGGTAAAGAGTGAGAGTGGATTAGACCCATTGCAAGACTTGGTTTTAAAAGTTTTATAAGGTTGGGGCACCTGGGTGGCTCTGTCTGTTAGGCATCTGACTTCGGCTCAGGTCATGATCTCATTGCTTGTGAGTTCGAGTGCCGCATCGGCCTCTGTGCTGACAGCTCAGAGCCTGGAGCCTGCTTCGGATTCTGTATCTCCCTCTGTCTCTGCCCCTCCCCTGCTCACACTTTGTCTCTGTCTCTGTCTCTCTCAAATATTAAAAAAAAACAAAACATAAAAATTGTATAAGGTTTTCTGTTTATATTAAGAGTTTCTGGATTTTAAAAAATAGAATCTGGGGCCATTTGGCTGCATCACTCAGTTGAGCACCCAACTTGATTTCAGCTTGGGTCATGATCCCAGGGTTGTGGGATCTGGCCCTGTGTTGGTCTCCATTCTGAGTGTGGAGAATCCTGCTTAGGATTCTCTCTCTCTCTCTCTCTGTGCCCCACCCCTACTCTTCTCTCTAAAAATAAAAAAATAGATCCTGATGTGGAGAAGTTTCTCAGGAATGGTATCATTAAATGCCACCTCGAACCTCACAGCTCAGATAAGTAAAAAGGGAAAATGGTCGGGAATGAAGCTTCCCATATGCCAGTGTATATTTTTGGCAAATTTTTAAAATGTTTCTTTTTTGAAAAATGAGATAGACTTGTATTGGGGTCCTCACAGAACTTAGGTGGATAGATCACCCCTGGAGTCTGTTGTCTTAAAGCATTTTAATTTTTATTTATTTGTTTGAGAGAGAGAGAGAGAGAGAGAGAGCACCAAGTGAACTGAGTGTGGAGCCTGACAGGGCTCGATCTCACGACCCTGGGATCATGACCTGAGCTGAAATCAAGAGTCGACTGCTCAACCACCTGAGCCACCCAGGTGCCCCTTAAAGGGTTTTATTTTTTGTTTTTAAATGTTTTAGTTATTTCTGAGAGAGAGCGTGAGCAGGGGAGGGTCAGAGAGAGAGAGGGAGACACCGAATCTGAAACAGGCTCCAGGCTCTGAGCTGTCAGCACAGAGCCCAACGTGGGGCTCGAACCCACGAACCACGAGATCATGACCTGAGCTGAAGTTGGACCCTTAACCAACTGAGCCACCCAGGTGCCCCCCTTAAAGCATTTTTAAAATGAGGTCTACAGTATTCTCCCTCCCTCCTCGTGCCCCCTCTCCTCCAAAGAGCACCTTATGCTGGAACCATGAATCAGTCTTAACAAAAATGCCTTCTTACTGGATAGTTCTTCTGCCTGTAAGGTAGATAGGGCTTCACGTAGGCAAAAATTTCGAAACCTGATGACCTGTCTCTCACCTTCCCATCATCCTCCTCGGTAGGTCAAACAAAGTGACATGTGGCAACATGTCCTTTCTCTGTTAGGAACTCCTTGCCAACTTGATTTCTTCATGTTTTTTGAAGAATCTAATATTGATCAGTTCTACTTTTTTAATGTTTTATTTATTTTTGGGAGACAGAGAGAAACAGAGCACAAGCAAGGGAGAGGCAGAGAGAGGGACACAGAACCCGAAGCGCGCTGCAGGCTCCAAGCTGTCAGCAAGAGCGCGATGTGGGACTCGAACTCACAAACCGTGAGATCGTGACCTGAGCTGAAGTCAGACACTTAACCGACTGAGCCACCCTGGTGCCCCTCAGTTCTCCTTTATAATGGACTAAATCCACTTCAAAGAGTTGGTTAATTTATGTTAACATTTTAAGTTCTTTTTTTTCTAGTGGTATATTAGAATTACTGCAATCAGCGAGCCAAAAGGGTGATTTGGTTTTGATGAAGGCTAAGGAAGTTACCAAATAATGCTGATTCTGACTGAGCTCTTTGGTCTGGTAAATCTATTCGTAGGAGAAGTTTAGAAGGGAATCATCAAACCAAATTTTCAATAAGGAAAAGATCCAGAAACAAAGTAGTTGACCAGAAGTCACACAACTATTCTTAACAAAGCCGACACTAACCACTTTTACATGTTATTTCTCTGCTTTTTTGAAATCCTAATGCAAACCATCGCAAAATTACACAACTGTAGTAAAAAATTGACTATGTCACCGGGTGCCTGTGTGGCTCAGTCAGTTAAGCATCCAGCTCTTGATTTTGGGTCATGATCCCACGGTGGTGGGATTGAGCTCCACACTGCGCTCCCTGCTGAGCATGGAGCCTGCTTGGGATTCTCTGTTGTACTTGTGCTCACTCTCTCTCTGTCTCACAAAACTTAACTGTCAGAATTATTCCACTTTATAAATAATAACTTGGATGTTTGTACTGAAAAAGAGTGCAGCGTTGTGAGTAAAATGTTAATAAGACGTCAAATAGAAGAAGTAACTACTTAGACTGGCTTTATAATGTCAGTAAACAGAAACTCTGTTTGACACTCTTGTGTTTCCACATTTGCTTATTCATTTATTTGCTTTTTTATTTTGAAGGCCCAGAAACGATACTTGGTTAAAATTGCCTGGGTGTCAGTCTATTATTAGTACCAAATGCGACTTTTCTTCACTCAAGGTAAATATTTATGAAAAACTTAAATTGCGTATAAGAGCAGAAAAAGGAAATGAGACTTCTCCATGGCATAATGTTGATGCCTTCACCCCATTTGGAAAAGGTAAGAAGCTGCCAGCTGAATTATGGTATATTCTTCATTAAATATCACTGCAACAGCTCACTTCCTAAGCCTGTTCATTCGCACAATGTGAAGTCTCCCATTTAAAAAAAAAAAAAAAGTGGGGTGCCTGGGTGGCTCAGTCGGTTAGGCATCTGACTTCAGCTCAGGTCATGATCTCACGGTTTGTGGGTTCGAGCCCCGCGTCAAGTTGCATGCTCTAGGAGCCCGGAGCCTGCTTCAGATCCCTCTGTCTCCCTCTCTCTCTCTGCCCCTCCCCTGCTTGCTCACCTGCACGTGCTCTTTCTTGCAAAACTATTATATTATAAACATTAAAAAAAATTTTTTTAAGTCCAACTGTTTTCATAATAATTCTAAGTCTTATCTGCCCTTTTAATTTTCATTCTATCTTGAAAACGAGTTTTCCAGAGGCTGATGTGTGAGAAAGAGACTGACTGAGTGCAGAAGCAAGTGTGAGATACATCTGTCTTGTCCATGAAGCCAGACATTAGCAAAATTGGGACAAAGTGTGACACGGTCCCACTCTCCTTGTGATGTTTGTTCTGGGAATATAGTGCTTTTATTTTTTTTGGTTTTATAACGCATATGTGTCAGCGCAATGGGCTGATTGATCATTATTATCTTTTAATGAATTCATTTAAAAATTTTATCAGTTTTACTGCTTTAATATACTAAATATTGAAAGACGTAGTCCATATAAACAAAAACTCTTTCAGACCCTCAATTTCTTTGAGTATGAAGGGATCCCAAGACCAAAAGGTTTGTGAGCCATGGCCCTATATCAAAACTCCCAAGGGACACTTGGGTGGCTCAGTTGGTTAAGCGTCTGACTTCAACTCAGGTCATGGTCTTATGGTTCATGGGTTCGAGCCTGGCATCTGGGCTCTGCACTGATGGTGCAGAGCCTGCTTGGGATCCTCTCTTGCCCTGCCCCTCCCCTGCTCGCTTGCTATCTCTTTCTCCAAAATCAATACTAAAAAAGGAAAAAAAAAAAACCCAAGAATGATCTGTATCCCTCTCTGCACGTGTCTGGCTGCCCCTCAGTCGGCACCCTTTGCATTCAGTTCCGTCCCTCATCCCCACACAAAACCATTCTCGGCAAGTGCTCTGATGACCTAAATGCCGAGTGAGTCCCCGGCCCTCTTCTGGGTCTCCAGGGCCCTGCGTCCTCCCCACTCTCCTCCTGCACATTGGGTCCCTCCCTCGCCACTTTCTCCCTGCTCCCCAGCTCTTTCAGTGCTGGACTGCTGCAGGGCTCGGTCCTCAAACCTCTTCTCTTTCTTTCTACGCTCGGTCCGCTGGTAATCTTCTGGCTTTCTAGCCCATCTGTACGCTCTTGAAAAAGGCCCACACTTAGACCTCCAGTCCCACTCTTTTCCCCTTAGCTTTAGACTGGTACCACCAACTCTCAAATTCAACATCTCTGCTTAGATGCCTGAGGGTCGTCTGGCCAAAGCCCTTGATTTCTGTCCTCAAAACCTGCTCTTCTTGCAGTCTTTCCATCCCTGCTCAGGACAGCACCTATTTATTCGCTCAGGCCAAGAGCCTTGGAGTCATCGCTGGCATCCTGCCTCCAGCCTGTCAACAAATTCTGAATGATCGACCTTCAGAGCGTCTCCCCAACAGGATCCCTTGTCACTGACCGCCCTGGGGCCAGCCTTCACCAAGCCACTCCCACCTGCCCCCTGAACTTCCGCAGTAGCTTCTTCCCGGCCTCCCTGCTTCCTCGGACTTTACAAGGCTGATCTTTCCAAAATGTGAATCACGGCATGGCTCTCCTCCAATCCCAGCCCGACACTAACTCCACGAACTACGGAGTTTTTCCTTTGTCATCTGGCCCCTAGCCACCCCTCTGATCTCAGCTTCAGACATTCAGCCAGTCAAGCCTCTTCCTCATCTCTTGAAAAGGGGGAGCACATTCCCACCTCCGAGGCTCTGCACCTGATGCACCCTCGCCCCGGAAGTCCTTTTCCCTATGTAATTTACATGACTGACGCCCTCACATTATTTTTGCTCAAATGTCTCAGAGAGTCTTTTCCAGACTAACTTCCCTAAAACGGCTCTTGCCCCCATCCTCTATCCCTTTACATGACTTCATTTCTCCTTACTGCGCACCCCACATTGTATGTATTCGTTTATTTATTTACTTATTTAGTTGCCACACGCCCCACTAAAATGTAGGCTCCGCGAGGGACTTTCTCTGTTTGACTATTCCAGGCACACGTGAAGCACTTAGAATTATTTGCCGAGTGAATGTTTTGACCTTGTATTAGTGAAGTTGTATAATCCATGCTTTGGTTTCTTCACAGCTCAAATTGGTCCTCCAAACGTACATTTAGAAGCCGAAGATAAGGCAATAAAAATAAACATCTCCCCACCTGGAGCCAAAGATGGTGTCATGTGGGCTCTGGATAGTTCAAGTTTTACATACAGCTTAGATATCTGGAAAAACTCTTCAGGTGCAGAAGTGAGCATTATTTTTACCTTTGTTTACCAGAAAGGCAAAGGGACCTGAATCTGTTCTAAATTTTGACCGTATGCTTTTTTAACAGCAGAATTCTATTTGTTTTATTATAGGTAAGGACTAAAACTGTTTACCCCAGAGATAAAATTTATCAGCTCTCACCAGAGACTACCTATTGCGTAAAAGTTAGAGCAAGACTTTTGCCGAGAAAAATTGGTGCCTATAGTCCAGTGTATTGTATAAAGACCACAGGTAAGTTGTATAACTTGAATTTATAACTTTAGATTATATTTAAATCTATATAATTAAATTATATCAATTTAATGTATAAATTGAATCTATAACTTTAGATTCAGTAACTATATGTTCAGACCGGCAGTCTATTAATTTTGGCATTTTCCCCCCTTGGGTTGCTGAACGTTACATGATGGTTTAATCGATATTAAAACAAAAACATTGTCACAGCAGTTCCATAAGGGGGGAAAATGTCACAGCGTTTGGGTTTTTTTTTTTAATCTCAAGTAAAGAGGAACGAAAATTCTGCCTATAAGTCTAAATACTGTCTAGTGACAAAAACTATTTTTTATTGGCTCAGAATCCACAAAAGGGCAAAGTAGCTGCTAGAAAAACAGTTAGTCTTGCAAAAAGTAGACCTTTATAAGTGCAGTGTTAAAATGTGAAGGCATCCTGACATATTTCGTCCGTGACATCTTGCCAGTAATTAAGGTCCAGGGTTAGGAGCTTAGATTTGTTTATTATTTTGATCATAAATAATATGCTTTGTTTTTAAAATCAAACAGCACAAAAGGGTTTAAAGTAAAGTTTTCCTCTGCTGCCCCCTTACCCTGAGTTCCATTTATTAGTGATAAGCATTGCTGGCATTTTCTACGTACTCTCTCCTCCCTTGGTCAGGGCTTGTATAAGCAGATGCACAGACCTTCAGTTTCTTGGTTTTGGTTTTCAAAATAAAAAAAATAGGATCCTGCTGGATCTATCTTTCCTCTTTCTTGTATAACCTGATACACTAGGATCTCTTTGTGTGTGAGCACATACAGCTCTATCACATTCTCTTAAGTGGCTGCGCGGTATTGCATTGTGTGATCTATACCAGAGCTCAAGTCATTACCTCGTGATAAAACATAAGCCTTTTGCTTTCTTGCCCATGCCGCTCAGAATTCTTACCATACGTTATCTCCCTAAAGTAAAAATGTATGCTTTTCTGTGTATTCTTTGTCTTCTAGTGGAAAATAAACTGCCTCCACCAGAAAACATTCGAATTGATGCTAAAAATGACATCTATGTTCTTAAGTGGGATTACGCGTATGAAAACATGACTTTTCAAGCTCAGTGGCTCCAGTAAGTCCTAGTCCTTTTTGCACAGCTTCTGTTGTACAGTTCGTTATGGTTCCTTTAGCTCCACCTCAGCCCCCGTTCCCCCCCCCCCCCGCCCCCCGTTCCGGGCATGCATGCTGACTGACGGAGATGCGAGACACTATATTGGAAACGGGGTGTTTAATTCTGGTTCCTGCTCCGCCGATAACTGACTGGATGGCACTGAGCTAATCCCTTGCCCTCTCTTGGCTTCACTTTCTTCACTTGCTATAAGATGGGCACACTCTCAGAGTATCTAGAGTGCCTGCTGGCTCCTTCTCTTTTTCCTAAGTGTGTGTCTGGCTGCATGTACATTTCCCCATTCTGCAGTACTTGACACATGACCCTGACCTTTTCTTCGGAACTCATTTTTCCATGAGTTCTCGAAATGATCTCAGTCCGGTCACTCTGTGTTGCTCAAGTCAGCCTTCCCATCTCCTTGGCGGCTTCATTGGTTTTGACAGATTTTTTAGTGATGACCTCAGTGGGAAACGAAGAGAGAACACAGTTCTCGCCAGCGATGGATGACGTGTAGGCCCGCAGAAGCGGTGGGGAGGGGAGTGCACACAGTTCGTGTTGACCCGAAGGTGGTAGGGAATAAAGAAGCAAATCAAGTGGAAGGAGAAGCGGGTTGTGGGGGAGGAAAGGGGTGGGAAGGAAAGCTCTATTTAGAGCAGAGGGATAGAGGCAAAGCTATGCCACAGCGGATGCTCAGGCTGCAAAGAGGTTTAAAATCAGGTCAGTGCACCTACATGGCTCAGTCAGTTAAGCGTCCGACTCTTGATTTTAGCTCAGGTCACAATCTCATGGTTTGTGAGTTCAAGCCCTGCATCGGGCTCTGTGCTGAGAGTGCACAGCCTGCTTGGGATTCTCTCTCCCTCTCTCTCTTTGCCCCTCCTTCCTCTCTAAATTAATAAACTTTAAAAATAGATGATAGAGGGGCGCCTGGGTGGCTTAGTCAGTTAAGCGTCCGACTTTCGCTTAGGTCATGATCTCGTGGTTCGTGGGTTCGAGCCCCGCATCGGGCTCTGTGCTGACTGCCAGCTCAGAGCCTGGAGCCTCTTTCGGTCTGTGACTCCCTCTCTCTCTGACCCTCCCCTGCTCATGCTGTCTCTCTCTCTCCTAGAAATAAATAAAACATAAAAAAATTAAAAAATAAATAAAAAATAAAAATAGATGATAGGTAGATAGATAAAATTAGTCAAGGTAAGGGGGAGGTATGGTTTTCTATTGCTCTGTAACAATATTGCCACAAATTTAGCAGCGTAAAGAGTGCTGTTACCTCTCACTGACTTCAGGGGACCAGGCCTGGCTTACACGGTCCCTCTGCTCAGAGGCTCCCAAGGCAGCAGTCAAGGTGTCAGCGGGGGCTGCGGTCTCATAGAGGACCTCGGGGTCCTCTCCTACGCTCATGTGGCTCTTGACAGAATTCACTTCTTGAAGCTGTAGGACTGTGGTGGCCTACTTCTTGGAGGCCACCAGGACAGAAAATCTCAGATCTCTAGACCTCTCTTTTCAGGGGCTTATTTGATTAGCGCAGGCCCATCAAGCTTAGTCCCATTTCGATTAACAAAGAGCCCACTGATTTGAGACCTTAATTTCACTCTCAAATCCCTGTACCTTTGCCATATAATGTAACCTACGATGTATGTGCTCCCCCTGTGGTCACATTTTTTTTTCTTTTCACTGTGTTCACTTTCAAGCTTCCAGCGTGATGTCACTGAACATGGCATTGGTAAGAAATGCACAGCAGGGCTCCATTACACAGCCTTCCCACGTACAGCTACAATAGACATGAGGAGCTTTGAGCACAGATATTAAAATATCATATAATAATTAGGACAAGAGGAATTTCGAGCCAGGTTGTCAGCTGTGCTTCTGACCCACCAGCTACAAACTAAAAAAGAAAAAAAAAGAAGAAGAGTTTTGAGTATTTTTATTTTTAATGCAATCTCTTTGTAAGCCTGTGCAATTTAATTTTTTTTTAATATTTTATTTACTTTTTAGGAGAGCGCAAATGAGGAAGGGGCAGAGAGGGGGGTTTAGAGGATCCGAAGCAGGCTCTGTGCTAACAGGCTGACAGCAATGAGCCCGATGTAGGGTTCGAGCTCACCAACTGGAAGATCATGACCTGAGATGAAATTAGAGGCTCAACCCACAGAGCCCCCTGGGCTCCGCGCAGTTTGATTTTTTTCATAATGGCTTTTAATTACTGGTTTGTGGCATTGCTGAGAATGCAGCAGTTGTTTCTGCAAACAATCGGCCAGGCCCAGCACACAGTGCTTTGTCACACTCTGGAGCAGGGTCTCTGGTTCTCTCTGTGTCGCATGCACGTCTCTTGCAGTGTATCATGAGTCTCCTCGGGGCGGGGACTGTTCACCTCTGTAACCTTAGCCCCTAACAGCGTCCAGCATATTCGAGGTGCATCATAAATACTTATTGAATTATTATGTTTGTAATAAAAAAATTTTTTTTTCTTAAAAGTGCCTATTTTAGGAAGATTCCTGGGAGCCATGAAGGTAAATGGAAACTACTATCAGACTGTGCAAATGTCAAAACTACCCATTGTGTCATTCCTCAAAGTACTTTCCAAAAGGGAATTTACCTTATCCGTGTTCAAGCATCTGATGGAAATACCACATCTGTTTGGTCTAAAGAAAAAAGATTTGATCCTCAGTTACAAAGTAAGCTGGTAGTTTTTCCTCCAGAATGTGTTTCTCTCATTTGATGCAAATTCTTAACATTGTTTTCCTAAGTCCCAAGCTTGTCTGTATGTTCGTTTCCTAGGTATCCTGGTTCCTCCAACCATTAACATGAAATCCACTAACGACGTTTCCCTGCGGGTCTATATCAGCACTCCAGAAGAGTCTGAAAACAAGTCTTTGAACCAGCTTTACTCAATAATTTATGAAATTGTATTTTGGGAAAACACTTCAAATGCTGAGGTAAAACAAACAGACAAACAAACCTTTGTGGTGTAAGTTTGTAACGTAGGGCCGTTACTGTGATTTGGCTAAACAAAGTTGGAAGTTAAAATTTTAGCAAAATTTAGACACTCTAATCATGTTAGCACCTTTCCAGGTTCTGCGTTCTAGCTATGGGTCTCCTGTGTCTGGGCCCATTTGTTTTTAACATTCAGATCCCTGAGCCTTTTACTACTCAAATCAGAATTTCCAGGGGTAGAACTCGGGAATTTGCATTTTTAACACAATTCCTGGGTATTTATCTAACCCAGGGTTGCTCAATGCTGTTGACCTTCAGATTGGATCGTTCTTTGTGGTCAGATCTGTCTTGCACATGATGGATGCGTCTCTCCCGGTCAGGACAACCGAGAAAACCTTTAGATGTTGCCAGATATCCCCTGGGGGCAGGGTACCTCCGAGGGGACAAAGAATACTTGGTACAATGGTTTGTGGCCCCCCCAAGGGGTAACCGAGCCTCCAGAGTTCAACTCCACCCAACAAAATCAATTTCGCGGCGAGGGAAGCTTTGGAAATCAGTCCTCTGAAAATGCTCCTTTTTTTAAAAAATATAATTAATTTATTTTTGAGACAGAGAGAGACCGAGCACGAGTAGGGGAGGCACAGAGAGAGGAGACACAGAATCTGAAACAGGCTCCAGGCTCTGAGCTGTCAGCCCAGAACCCGACGCTCCTTAACTGGGGACTCATGAAGAAAAGGTTAAGAAACAAGAGTTCAAACACTAAAATTCAGAAACCCTGGACAAAGACAATACACGATATCAGATAATCCACATTATTCCTTGATCTCTTTTCCCTGTGGAATTACAATCAAAGACTCCGCCTTTAAAAATCTTAGGCAGTTGAGTAGGTAAATCCTATAACTTGACTTCATGTTCAGTTGGAAACCTGAGAAAATTCCAGTGACATGGCTACTTACCTTTTAACTATCTGAACACACTGCGACCAAAGCATAATTTAGTCCACTGAGAATTACAGTCGGTTCTCAGTTGTCCCTACCGCAAAAAAACCTAAATATGTGTCTCAAGCCACCAAATTGTGTAACCTTACACAAGGTGCTTTACCTCTCTGAGATTTTGCTTCCTCTTCTGTAAAGCAGTGGTAGTCATAGTAACATTGTTTTGAAAGGATGTTTATGTTTATAAGATTTAAAATGAAGCACCATCTGAGGGGCACCTGGCCGGCTCAGTCGGTGGGACATGTGACTCTTGATCTCGGGGTTGTGGGCTTGAGCCCCATGTGGGGTGTAGAGATTACTTAAAAATTTAAAAAAAAAAAAAAAAAAACTTACAACGAGATAATGTATGAAAACACCTAACACATGGCTTGACAGATAGTAGAGATTAAATCGTTTCAGTTGCCATCTTGTCCCGTCTAGTCAATGCGGCAGTAATTACAGTCACAATAGCAGCTCATATGAATCGAAAGCTTACTTTGCAACATGTACTGTGGTAAGTAATTTACATGAATTGTCTCAGTCATTCTTCCACAGAACGATCGTGCCAGACAGTCTGACTGATGAAATCGTTCAGCAGACACTTAGGATGGAGCGTCCCTGATGCTGGGCTTTTTTAACCAGTGGGACGGGGCTGGGTATGATGTGAGCTCGGTTTGGCTTGGCTCTCAGATTTCTCTCGCTTGCCAAGAGGAAAGCAAAGCGCCACATAGTTTCTGGCCCAAGGAGGATGAGGGGCTTGTGGGGGAGACTTAAACCTGACCCACAGCCTCCAATGAAGGCTCCCCAGCTGGTCAGACTCTGTGGGAGGAAAATAAATGTTTGGCCCCAGCCCCAGGATGTTTTGTTTAATTTGGTAACACTGCACATTACTTTGTTGTCCTTGTTTGGTATATTGTTACACAATATTATTGTGGCAATGCCTGACTGCTACAGGGAGGCACAGCAATCGTCTTCATTTTACAGATGGGGGAAATAGGGCCGGGAGAAAAGAAATAACTTGCCTAAGGCCACAGAGCTGTAAGTGGTACCTTAATACAGGCAGTTTAAGGCCAGAACCCCGCTCCTGAGCAGAGGAAATACAATGAATGGCAATTGCACCAAATCACCAGGTACTTAGGCGTTAAAGTTGGCTTAGGAAAACATCATACTCTTTTTTGGAAGCAACATTTTTAACTTTGATTTGGTTTGGATGTGTTGTCTAAAACAAATTTATATTTCTTAAACATCCACCAACAAAGTGGTTGGGAGAGGCCAGTCTTAGGACCGAGTATTTAGGGAATTCCGGAAAGTGACATTCCCTATCTGACTTCATGAGGTGACTAAATTTTATCAATGATCTACTTCTATTTTTTTTTGTAGAAAAAAACTCTAGAGAAAAGAACAGACTTTACTTTTCCTAACTTGAAACCACTGACTGTATATTGTATCAAAGCCAGAGCACTTGCTGCAGACGAAAGGTGGAATAAAAGCAGCGTTTTTAGTGATCCTGTGTGTGAGAAAACAAAATCAGGTCAGAATCTTTCATTTTATCTTTAAAAAATAATTTTTTTTGACATTATTTATTTCTGAGGGGACGGGGGAGGGAGGCAGAGCATGAGTCAGGGAGGGACAGAGAGACACAGAATCCGAAGCAGACTCCAGGCTCCGAGCTGTCAGCACAGAGCCTGACACGGGGCTCAAACTCACAAACCGTGAGATCATGACCTGAGCCGAAGTCGGATGCTTAACCCACTGAGCCACCTGGCGCCCCCAGACCACTGTCTTTAAATGGAAATGCATTGCCATGTATCATTTCACATACATGTTATGTTTCCCTTCATGTGGCTACGTTCCATCCGCACAGACTGTCCGCGCTATTAACGTCTTCGTGCATCAAAACTTACATTGACGCTGTAGGGATGAGCACTGGGTGTTATATGGAAACCAACTTGACAATAAACTATTTGTAAAACAAAACAAAACAAAACAAAAACTTACATTGACGCTAAACATCACTTCCTTATATTTCAGGAAATACTTCCAAAACGTGGCTCATAGCTGGGATTTGTGTTGCATTATTGTCCATCCCGGTTGTCAGTTACGTTCTGAAGCTTCTCCTGCGATGTATCCGTTACGTGTTCTTTCCATCAAGTAAACCTCCTTCCACAATACACGAGGTATGTTACTCTTCTGTGTCGACAGGTAGATTTTTCTTGAAATGAACGGGAGATCTATTTGATTTCAACAGAATCCATACATTTTTCTTGATATGCGGAGAATAATACAGACTGGGATATTTCCTGCAGCTTTCGGTAGATTGGCTTTAGAAACAGCCATTCGATATCACATAACGTGGACTAGTAAAATATGCCCATCATCTCATATTTTTATTCTGACAGTTTGGCCACCGTGGCCTTTGTTTGAGCCTCGAAAGGCTTGGCGTTCACCAAAAGCCTAGCACAGCATCGCGAGTTGCAGAAGGTGTGGTCCGTGGGTGACCTCACAGAAAGGGAAATAAGGCAAATGAGCCTCCTGTCATGACACCTCACGGGTTCTTGTTTGGCACACCCGGGAGGGGAGGGAGCAGATTTAATGAAAGCACTAGATGATAAAGGTCTAAGCGCAGGGCCCGGCTCGGGGATGGTGGGCTCGCCTGAGTGGGTGTGCGGCTGCCTGCCTTCAGAGTCTCGTTTTTGAGCTCCGGCTTTGCAGCTCGAGGGACGTGAAGGCAAATTGTTGATCAGCCTCATTCTGTTTGCATATGGTAACTCTGAATGCAAGCGGGTCACCGAAGAGAACCTGAGTGAGCTCCGCACGCTGTAGAATTTCCAGACAGACTCCCCACGACCCCAGAGCACCCCCACCCTTTCCAGCCTCTCATGCGCTCGCCGGCCCCCTGCCCCTAACAGTGCTTAGGTGTACATGACCTCGCAAGTGGCGATCTTCTAAACCTGAAACTGCGGTCAGTAGGCTCTTAGCTGACTTTTTAATACGCGTGCACCAAAAGGTAGCTTTTCTCGGTGCTGGATATAAGAGACTGAAGCTGTGTTAGAAGTAGAAAACTGCTGCTCTTTTAAACAGCCTGTTTCTCCCCCCCCCCCCCCCCTTTTTTAAATCAGTACTTCTCTGAGCCACCACTCCGGAACCTCCTCCTCTTCACTTCCGAAGAACAAACTGAAAGGTGTTTTATAATCGAAAATACGAACATTCTCACTGCAGTAAAGGAACCCGACCAAGCTGGTGAAGATCACAAAAAATACAATTCCCAAACCAGTCAGGATTCGGGAAATTATTCGAACGAAGACGAAAGCAATGGCAGCAAATGCAGCGAAGACTTCCCGCACCAGGAAGCCGAGTGACCAGGAGGAAGCTCTGAAATGTCCAGGATTGCGTGGGGGCCTGAGCCGCTCCGCTCGGTCCGTCCGCTCAGGCTGCCTGGGGCAGGAAGACCTCTCCAGGTCTCGGGTCCTAGAACACTGGCAAGCCCTTGACCGAGTGGTATTTGCACATGGAAGAACACAGCCTGGGACGCAAGTTTTCCGAATTTTCTCCCACGCGCGCAGCAAAAGGCCTGTTGCTGGGCCTGTCTTTGGTGCAGTGGGTGAAATCAGAAGATTCTCCTCATCTTTCTAAGGACGCCTCCAGCACCACCGTGCAAACTGCTTCGTGGCAAAGGGTGGTTCGCTGTGTTCCCGACAGGTGACACTGTCACTGTGCTGCCTGTGGCTGCGCATGTCACCCATTTGTCCTCCATTCCCAGCATGATAGTTCGGGATTTTTCAGGACATATTTAGACACTTTTTTAGGTGCTTAGGAAATTTCTTTAGAAAAGCTGGGTTCTGTTCCCACTGGCTTTCCGGAAAACAGCATACTCTAGAAGATATCTATAGGTGCCAGGAACAGGATCCATAAGATTTTCAAGGGACCCTGTCCATGTATCCCCCAAACCCTGGCTCTGCATCACCATTACCTCTCCCTTCTGTGGTTGAGGCTTTAAAACACGTAACCGTTTAGTAGACATTAACACTTCCTGATTCAGAACTTAATTCGCAGCTTAGCAGAGCAGTCGCTTCTGAATTTGCAGTCCCTGAAGTTACAGAGAAAGGGCAGACTGTCTGATCAGAGACGTTATGATTTTTTGAACAGAAGGAAGTATGCAGAGCTTAGCCAGCGTCCTCAGGAAGCCTTGGGACCAGAAAATGCTACTAACAGAGTAAGAAGTAGAAAACAACTCAGTAAGAGGAAAGCAGGTGGCATTAGTGAAAAATAGGAGTAAAAGTGTCTAATCAACTTTTCATTATTAATGTGCCGTGTGGTTGCTTGCTAAGGCTTATTGTCTTTTTTTTCTTTCTTTCTTTCTCAGTTTTATTGAGATATAATTGACCTGTCCCTTATCTGTGTCGTGTTTCAAACTGGGCCAGCTTCTCTGGGCCGTGTAGCTGTATTCAGGCACCCCTTCCATTTCGCTCGCATGTGCTTAAGAACAGGAAAATGTATTATCAAGGGGAGGAAGAAAATGTAACTGGAAGGGAAACCCAATTTTAAGAATTCTTTATCTTTCAAAGGCCACGTAGAGTTTATATTTAAGGTGTTCACGGAGATCCTTAGTTAGGAAGGAAGTCTGGGAATTTTGGTGGCCCCTGAAGGGAGAAGAAAGGGAGCGACACGGTGCCCTGGGATGTCCGTAACCTAAGGCCAGTGTCATTTACGCAGAGGTCCCCACGGGGGTGACAGGTTCCTCTGTAGGGAAGGCCCTACAGCTGCACACCACGCGCTCACCAGGACCTGCTGTCCAGGCTGCCGGCAGAGCGCCGTGGGGATCGGGGATGCCCAGGAGCCCCTCCGAGACACAGGCCTGTGCTGTTCGGGTCCCTGAGGTGACCCGAACACATTCGCCTCTTGATCTTTCTGTCCAGATTCTGTCTTGATCTTTCTGTTTCCTTGCAGGCAGATCTTCTGGGTCGGGCCGCCCCCCGCCCCCTCCACCCCTCCCCATGGCTTTCATGTCGAGCTGACGCCACCAACACCCAGGCCCTAAATTGACCTCAGGAACAAAGCTGCTTTACACTGGATGTAACCTAAGAATTTATGCAAAAGATTTGTATCATCGCAGCCAGAAATCGTTATTGTAAGTTAATGTACCTTGTGAACAGTGACATGGGCCTGTAAACGCATACCTGCATGTTTATACCTACCCTTGGGCTCACATATGACGTGGGCCGTATGCCATTATTAGGGCAGCCATAAAGTACTTACTAGTCTAGATTCTAATTCAAAAGTTAGAAACGCTACTCAGAACTAGGAGTTTTAGAAACTGACCAGAAATGTAGAACCGGCGAAGTTATGTTTTAAATAGAATTTGCCGTCTGTGTGCATTTCCCCAGCCTGTGACCTTTAAAGCGGCCCCAGATTGCTCTGAAGAATTCTGAGTGTACAAAAACTTTCCTTCCTCCCCGCTCCTTCCTGTGACTCCCTGACGTGTTACATATTTGTTTTTCGTGTGGTATCTGTCTGCACCCACGAGACCGGAAGCTCTGTGAGACGGAGGACTTTCTCTTATTCATTGCTGTATCCCCAGCAGAAAGCAGTGATCCAGTGTGTGAAATCGACAGTGTGAACCTAGTGGGTGTCTCCGAAAATGTTTGTATGTTCGTTGAGCTGTGGAAGGTCATAGCCATGTTTTCAGTGTTTCTTTGAACCAAACTTGCATCTTTTATTTGTGTTTTTTTCTGAAACCCTATTACTGTGAATAATTTTATATAATAAACACCGGGGCCAGAAATCTTCAATTTTTTTGTTGTTGTGTTTAGACTTACTGAACGATCATGTACAAGGGCGCCTGGGTGGCTCAGTCATTTAGGCGTCCCACTGTGGCCCAGGTCATGATCTCACAGTTTGTGGGTTCAAGCCCCACATCGGGCTCTGTGCTGACAGCTCAGAGTCTGGAGCCCGCTTCGAGTTCTGTGTCTCCCTCTCTCTCTGCCCTGATCCTGCTCACACTCTGTCTCTCTCACTCTCAAAAATAAATAAAACATTTTAAAAATAAGAAATAAATGAACTTTCATGGACCAAAGATGCTACAACTGATGCCTTTACATGATGCTCACGGCAGAGGGGGCCGATGCCTGTGCCCCACGTTCTGATGTCCAGCATTGAGGGTCCTGAAGGAGCCGCTGTGGCCTTCCTGCCTCCCACGGCTCCTGGACAAGGAGCTCATCACTTGCTCTTTTCTTTTTCACAACCTCAACCTCAGACGAGGATGGAGCACAGCCTTGGATAAATGAGTTTGCAACGGTGATGCATACTCTGCGTTCCTGAACTGCCTTCCATTTTCTTCTCCGGGTAAAGTCAGAAATTTTTAACGGCACTCCCCAATCCCACACGTAAATTGATCTCTCCTGCCATCTGAACACATTTAATCTGAACTTGAACACAATGGATATTCAGACCGGGGACACTTCAATGATCTGTTTTTCATAAGCTCTCTCAAATTTATTTTCAAAAGGAACAGTACTTTCTCAAAATACTAATGAATTCATCTCATATGCCCAAAACTGCCCTGGTAACCTAACACAGACACTGCATTTTTTCTTGGGTTTAGAGAACCACAGAATTCTAAGTCTTGCCGGCCACATAAATATATGTGGAATATATGTCGTAGGCTATTTATATTGATGGAAGAAAAATAGCTTTTCCCTCACCTGAGAGGGGAAAAAAAGACCAGAAGAGAGAACTTGATGTTTTCTATGCAAAGGATATAGATACTAGTGTCCTATATTCATGAGACCTGTCTCAACTTGAGACTCACCTTCTAACAGAGGATGTTTTGTGGATGAAATAGTAATTGATGAGGAAGAAAGCAAAAACTGACAGGCTTAGAAAAAACAGGTTTGGGGAAGAGGGAGAAAATGGGAAGATCGCTCCTCTCAGTAGCTGGTTTAAAGTAAACTGTCCTCACAGTGAATCTCACTGCCCTGATACCCGGTCTGCAAAATTTCCTAGCTCCATCAGAGAGGAGGGAGCTGAGGGGAAAGCGAATGAATGAATATGAATGAATGAATGAATGCATGAGTGAATGAAAAAAAAATGTTTTCCCATCTCTCATGTAGAAAGATGGTCCATTTTTTCCCAAAGAATGGAGTTAGTCCTTAAATATACAACAAATAACATAGTTGCCTAGTCCCAAATATTGTAATGCTTTACAACTTTGGAATTTTAGTTATAAAAGGAGATGATAATGACTTTTATAGAATAAAAAGGTATATCATCCACTCTGAAATCTTCCTAAAAGACCTCTACTTCATCCACATGTAGAAGTCATCTTTGTGACCCTCACTACCTGCACATTTGCCTAGCATGCTACCTCGGAGAGATTTCATGGCAGTTTGCCTCTACATAGCCTTCTGCTAAATGGCACGCTTCGTGAGAACAAGGACTATCTTTTTTTTCTTTTTTAACTCTGTAGCTGACACTCGGTAAGTGTTTCATGAGTAATTAAGTGGGGCATTGAAGGTACATAAATTGACCAAATCCACCACTAGGGGAAGACAAGTCACCCTGTTCAGGTTCACGACCAGCTGGTATCTTAGAAATAGATTCTTAAAGGGCCCAATCATGAGGAAACACTAAGAGAGAAAATGTGTAGCTAAAAACGATATATGGTTTGAGTTGCTAGATTTAGCAAATAAAAAGACAGAACACCGAGTTAAATCTGAATTAAATTTGAATTTCAGGTAAACAGTGAATACTTTTTTTAGTAGAAGTATGTCCCAAACATTGTATGGGATATACTTATGCTTTAAAAAATTTTTTGGTTTTCTTGCATAATGTTTTGAATATTTTGGCATGTTACCGCTACAGAGATTATGATGAGTTTTTTTAGTATAAAAGTGTATCATTCCCTCTTTGAAATCTTCTAAATGACTCCTACCACGTAGCCATGCAGAGGTCGTCTTTGGATTCCATCTGTAATCTCAGCTAAACAACAAATACCTTTCTACTAAAGTTTATATCCCGTGCAATATTTGGGACATATTTATACTAAAACATCCATTTGTCTATTCGAAATTCACATGTAACTGGATTGCCTTGTATTTTTAATTCTGGCAAGTATTAATGTTAAGTTTCAAAAGTACTCTTGGGCCCTCTCAAACCCTTAAACCAATGTAAGTAATGCTTCTTGCAGAAATGTATACTCAGGACCTGTTTTATTTACAATTTAAAACAGTGGTTAAGAGAGAGTAAATACTGCAAACGTTATATAGCCAAAAACATCCATTCCAATCTAATTCTGTCCCTAGGAGAAGGTGTTGGGGGGCAGTCTGGATCCTGCAGAGGTCCAGGCCTTTCTGAGGGATTTGACCTGTGGGCCACTTTTCTGCCCGCATTTCCCACCCGGCCCTGACCACATGCTTCATATCACAGTTTTGTTTTCTGTAATGGACTGTGAGCAACTTGAGGTCAAGGGCCGTGTGGTGCCTGGCCTGTTGTGAGTAGTTGCTCCACAAAAGGGATGTTGATTTTAACCTCAACTGTTTTCTTTTTTTTTTTTTTTTTAATTTATTTCTAAGAGAGAGAGAGAGACAGCATGAGCAGGGGAGGGTCAGAGAGAGAGGGAGTCACAGACTGAAACAGGCTCCAGGCTCTGAGCTGGCAGTCAGCACAGAGCCCGACGCGGGGCTCGAACCCACGAACCGCGAGATCATGACCTAAGCGAAAGTCGGACGCTTAACCGACTAAGCCACCCAGGTGCCCCTCAACTATTTTCTTTAGAGTTATTTCTTCCCATCACCGTTCAGTAGCAGGAGAAGTTGGTCAAAACGCAAGAATATTCTGGACTGCATTGACTTGTGGACATTTCTCTTCTGTGCGCTTGTTCGGGGCAAAGACGGCCCTTTACTCAACCGTTTACGCTCCTTAGCACCTTAGTAAGAGATCCATAAATGTAGATGAATAAATGAAGTTTCACACCTCCCCCTACTCTGCTCTGGGCCATTCAGGGAAGGGGCCCATGGTGCATCCTTTGGCTCAGACCAGAACTCGACGAGGTGTCTCAGACCCTTCCTTCTTCCTCCTTACCTGACCTTTCACCAAGCCTTCTTCATTCTGAATAGTTCTCGAATCCTCCCATTTCTGTCCCTGCTGCCCCACGCTGGTCTACACCCTCATCTGGGCTCCTACACGCCAGCCCCCATCCAGTTTTGCACCTCCTTGTCCATCTCCAAGTGATTGTCCCTCAGTCCTTCAAAGAAAACTTTCAAGATGCATCAGATGCTTCTCCACTATCCTTAGGTTAAGCTCCACCCCCCCACCCCCCCCACCCCCACCCCCCGTTCCATACTTCACGGGCTTCCTTTCTCCAGCCCCAACTTCCGGCCTTACTTTTATTCCTTGAATTGACTATTCTCTGACTAGGCGAGAGCCTCCTGTGGTGGCTCCCGCAGCGCCCTGTGCCTCTACATCACCCTAGAATCTTCCCACTTTTTAAAAGTATTGATTTATTTTGAGAGAGAGAAAGAGAGAGAGAGAGAGAAGGAGGAAGTGAGCAGGGGAGGAGCAGAGATAGAGGGAGAGAAAGAATTTCCACACTGTGAGTGCAGAGCCCGGCATGAGGCTTGAACTCACAAAACAGGAAACCATGACCTGAGCCCAAGTCAGGAGCTGGACACTTAGCCGACTGAGCCACGCAGGCACCCTGAGAAATTATTCACTTAATACCTTCCTCTGACTCGATGGTCAGCTCTCAGAAGGTAGGGACACTCACCACCAGGCCTGGCACGAGAGGTACTCAATACATGTCTTTAAATGAGTAAATGAATCGCATGCCTTTACTTGCACACACGAATCCGTCCTGGCACATGGCTTAGGGCCCGGAATGGGAGACATAGGGAAATCAAGGACAAAGAGGTCTCTGCGAGAGGCAGGTCTTTGTGTGCTCTGCCAGTGCTCACTGGAAAGCGCCCACCATGGGGGAGGCACTGGACCAGCCTGTGGACAGTTTCATTCACTCTTCTGATGGAGGCCAACCAGCCTCGGCCTTCACTGCCTCCGATGTTTGCACCGGCGGCCCATGACCGGAGCAGCCGTGAAAGAACCTAGGCATGGGCCCAGCGGATGGGCTCCCTGTAGGCCAGGCTGACCATCCAGCCCCATAGCAGCCCGCAGTGCTGCTGAGCCCCCGACAGGACCCTCTTCACCGCACCCCACCGCCCATGCTCTCACCACCTGGCCACTCCCGCCTGGAGGGGCGGCAATTCATCTTTACTGGGATTCCTACCTGGCAGTGCCTCAGTCCCACGATTATCCAAGGGTCAAAAGAGTAGGTATGAAGGGTGCTTGGCCGGCTCAGTCGTCAGTGCATGCAACTCTTGATCTGAGGGTTGTGAGTTCGAGCCCCATGGTGAGTGTAGAGCTTACTTTAAAAACAAAATAGTCTCTTTAAGTATTTTTGTAAAAAAGAATGTGTAGCTGGGGCACCCGGGTGGCTCAGTCAGTTAAGCGTCTGACTCGATTTGGGCTCAGGTTATGATCACGGTTCATAGGATGAAGACCCATATTGGGCTCTGCACTGACACCCTCTCCCTGACTCTCTCTCTCTAAATAAACACATAAACATTGGGGCGTCTGGGTGGCTCAGTCGGTTGAGTGTCTCACTTCAGCTTAGGCCATGATCTCACAGTCCATGAGTTTGAGCCCCATGTAGGGCTCTGTGCTGACAGCTCGGAGCCTGGAGCCTGCTTCAGATCCTGTGTCTCCCTCTCTCTCTCCCCCTCCACTGCTCGTGCTCTGTCTCTCAAAAAAATAAAACATTAAAATAAATACACATTTAAAAAAGAGACTGTAATAACCTTTTATTGTGTCAATGTAGCTCTGCTGAAGTTACCTTTTCCTAATTTCCTTCCTTGCCTGGTTCCAAGTTAGCATTTGGCTCAAGAGAAATTTCTGGAAGTGTAGAAGACAGAGGCAAGCACCAGTGGCTGGCTTGCCTTGCTGGTCTGGTGTAAGACAGCAGCAGCTCTCCTCCTGTCCTGCTCTTTCTGACAGCCAGGGCTGCTCTCCCCCCAAAGCACAGGCTACACGTAGCCTTCCATAACATTCTTCACCAACTTCCACAACTGCGGAGGGCCTAATCCCTGTAATAAAGACCAATATTAGTTTTCAAGTTCCTTTCACATAGCACCACGGTGACTTCCTCTTCTTCCTGCCTCTTCCACATTAAAGGACCCTGTGACTACACTGGGCTCTACCCAGATAATCGAGAACAATCTCTCTGTTTCAAGGTCAGCTGATAAGTAACCTTAATTCCATTTGCTACCCTAATTCTCCCTTTGCCATCTAAACTAACATATTCACAGGCTCCAGGGACTGTGACGTGGACCTCATCTGCCTACGACAATGTCGCATCACTCAAAGTAGTTCTGCTTCTCTGACTGAATCCTGATTGCCTTAGACCAAGGGACCTGTTTTATGTCAGTAGAGATGCAACAATGGGCACAGGATAATGGGATTCACTGTCCTGCTGTAGGCCGCATCACCTAGAAGCTACCAGCCAAGCTACCTACCAGCTACCTTGGATCGGCCTGAAACACCCCAGCTAAGGCACCAGGTGAACCCCCAGGGGCTGAAGTGCTGGGTCTCTGATAGGCAGCACCAAGGCATGGGGGTCTAATGCCTACTCCCAGTTTTCCCCTGGGGAATCTGCACTTGAGGTTGGGCTGGACTAGAGGTCCTGGTTTCCTGGTGGGGGGAGGGGAGAGGGATAAGAAGGCCTTTTCCAAAATGACCGGGCTACACCGAATCTGCGTGTGCCAACAGGCCAGCAAGAGGTGATATACAGAGACGGGTAATTCACCTTAGTTCTTATGGGAAATTAAGTTACAATTACTTTATGGGGAGGAAGGGGTGGGTCTGGAACGCTGGGAACTCCCTGAAGCACATTTTGGTGCTTCTGTGCCAGGTGATGACTGGGAACGAGCAATTACTGGAACAGAGTAATGTGGGCACAAACTTCTCAGGGATAAAGGTCTGGGTTATCCGACCAGGCAACCCAGATCAGAAGTGCTGGCTGAGGGGTGCCTGAGTGGCTCAGTCGGTTAAGCACCTGACTCTAGATTTTGGCTCAGGTCATGATCTCACCGTCTTGAGCCCCACCTCAGATTCTCTCTCTTCCTCTCTTCTGCCCCTCTCCTGCTCAAAATAAATAAACATTTAAGAAGAAGGGGGAGGTGGAGGAGGAGAAGGAAAAGGAGAAGTAAAAGAAGGGGGAGGAGGAGGAGAAGTGTTAGTTGAGGGTGAGGAGAATCTCAAATGGGTGAGAGAGGAAGAAGAAAATGAGGGTTTATTATGGCCTGAGACCATCTTCAGAAAAGGGAACTGTAGCTGTCCCACTAACCTCCCTATTATAAGATTTTCTTTTTTAAAGTTCTTTTTAAATTGTGACCAGCCATCACCTGGAAGAATCCATGACAGCATGAAATTAATTAATGCAGGACACAAGTGGTTCTGAGTGGTAGGTACAGGGGTTCACTGTCAGATGCGGTTGGTGCCTCCCCATATAATCATGGCATTTCATGCCTTTGAGCATGAGGGGACTTCCAAATCTCTGTCTTCCAAGACCCATTTTACCCAAGGACTGATAAGAGTTGACATCGAGCAAGTAGAGGCTAGAGATGCTGCTAAATACCCTACAATGCACAGGGCAACAAAGAATAAATTTTAGAATCAGCTTTCCAGTTTCTGCAAGAAACAAACAAACAAACAACAAAAAACAACCCAGCTGGGATTTGATAGGAATTGCACTGAATCTCTACACCAATGTGGGAAAATAGTGCCATATTAACAATACTGGGTGTTCCAGTCCATGAATATGAGATATTTTTCCATTTATTTAGGTCTCTTTTAATTTGTTTCAATAATGGGTTTTTTTCCCCCATTTTTAATGTCTAATCCTTATACTTCTTTGGTTAAATATATTTCTAAGTATTTTATTCTACTTGATGATATTGCAAATGGAATTGTTTTCTTAATTTAGTCATCAAATTGTTCATTGTTAGTGTGCAGAAGCAAAAAAAATGCTTTGGGGTCAGGGGAACCAAACCATTTTATTGAGGGGTTTTGGGGAAACGTTGAAGAGCTAGGAGGACAGTAAGATCCGACTTCTTCAACCTGGCCAGGATGTCCCCAGCCCCACAGCTGCCAAAAGCTAGAAGCAAAATTGTTTATGTATTTATCTTGCAACCTTACTGCGTTTATTTATTAGTTCTTACATTAGTTTTGGTGGTTGCTTAAGATTTTCTATACACAAGATCATGTCATCTGTATATAGAGATGGCTTTACTTCTGCTCCAATATGGATATTGTTATTTGTTTTTCTTGTCTAATTGTCCCAAGTAGAACATCTAATACAATGTTGAATAAAAGTAAATAGTGTCCTTTTCCTGATCTTAGGGAAAAAGTGTATGATCTTTCACCATTAACTGTGATGTTAGATGTGGGGCTTTTTGTACATGCCCTTTATCATACTGAAGAAGTTCCCTTCTTTTCTTTAGTTTGTTTAGTGTTTTTAATCATGAAAGGGAGTCACATGTCATATTATGTTTGTCAAATGTTTATTCTGTGTCTACTGAGATGACCTTTTTTTTTTTTTTGGTCCTTTATTCATTTTGTATGTTAAATGAACTTGTATTACTGGAATAAATCTCACTTGATTGTGGTGTATAATCCTTTTTACACATTACTGGATTCAGTCTGCTAGTATTTTGTTGAGGATTTTTACAATTTGACTTTATAAAGGATACTGGTCTGTTGTTTTTGGGAACCATTGTTTGCTTTTGGCATCAGGGTAATTTTGGCCTCATAGGATGAGTTGGGAAAGGTTTTCTTCTCCTCTGTTTTTGGAAACGTTTGTGAAGAATTGGTGTTAATTTTTCTTTAAATGTTTGATAAAATTCACCATGATACCATGCTGATTTGAGCTTTTCTTTGTGGGAAGTTGGATTGTTATGGGATTGGATTAACCCAGTCTTTTTACTTGCTATAGGTCTATTCAGATTTTCTGTTTCTTCTTGAATTAATGTTTATAAGTTGTATCTTTGTAGGATGTATCCATTTCATCTAGGTTATCTGATTATTTGGCATATGATTGTTTATAATATTCTTTGATAGTCCTTTCATGTCTAAATTTTTTTTAAATAGTTTATTGTCAAGTTGGTTTCCATACAACACCCAGTGCTTATCCCCATATCATGTCTGTAAATTTGATAGTAATGTCTCCTCTTTCATTCCCGACTGATCTCAGTAATTTCAGTCTCTTGTATTTTTAAATTTTTTTAAAAATATTTATTTATATTTGAGAGAAAAAGAGATAGAGTGTGAGTGGGGAGGAGCAGAGAGAGAGTAAAACACAGAATCCGAAGCAGGCTCCAGGCTCTGAGCTGACAGCACAGAGCCCGATGAGGGGCTCAAACCCACAAACCGTGAGATCATAACCTGAGCTGAAGTCGGATGCTTAACCGATGGAGCCACCCAGGCACCCTAAATATGTGTAATTTAAAACTAACTATAACCTTCAGTTTGTAGCTCTCATACAATAAAAACAAATTTAATTTATAAATTAGTTATAACCAAAACTGCAAAACAATACAGTTAAAGCAAAAAACACTAATTCAACATTTGAGTTCAGCGTGGCTATCTACCATACACCTGGCAATGAACCAATTCAGCCATTACTTTTTCTTAAATCAAACTATGATGAATGTCTAATTGAACAATATATGTTTAATGTCATTTGGCCCTCATTTGGCAGAAGTAGTCATAGTAAGTTCATCTTTGTTTATGGCCATTACCTGAAAATGCCAAAATAGTACCATTGTTTCCTAAGAAGATCCTAAACACAAATATACAACAGGTTCATTCTGATGCTTCCAGAATATGCCCATATTAGACTTGTAAGCTTACTATCAAAGTGAAAGCAAAGTTTTTAATTTCTGAAGAAAAGCTAGAGGACCCCACAAACAAACCTGCAATCTGGAAAAAAACTGGCTTGGAACTTTGCTTTAATGGCATGCCTCAATCCTTTCCAAAGTTGCTCCATGTGAATCCTTAGCCATTATTACCTTCAAAGGATACTTATTCCAACTATGGTTACACAGGGAGTTTCTTAAAGTTCTATTTGTGAATATTTCCTCCTGAGCAATAAGGAAGAGAAAGCAAAGATGAGAATCTTGTGCTGGTCACCATGATCTGATTCAGAAATGGCTTGGCTGTTGGGTTTACTAAGCAAGAGAAACCAAGATAAAGCAGTTGAGCAAATACTTAGCCACCACCTTCCCTACTACAAGCATCTTTGCCTTGTAATGAGCAGAACTTTGTAGTAGATGAATCCTTGAGGAGGAAGCCTCACATCCATAATTACACCTTTAGAGAAGATGGGAAGAAATAAGCCCTGCTTTGGAGCTGAGTTGGACCAGGAAAGGGAAGAGCCCTAACCTGGGGTATGATCACCACAGTGCACATCTGCTAGTTGAGATGACTCAGTAAGTCTGACTCAACCCCTAACACTCACCTGTTAACAAGCAATTGAAGATGAGGGAGAGAGATGAGAACAATGAGAGTCATGACTCAGGGAAAGTGACTAGCAGGGAGAAGCCAGACCACACCAGGTCACACCTTGAAGTTATAGAAGGCAGTGTGGGGAGAGTGTTTGGTATCACTTCTTCCTTCTTTGTCCACTGAACCCAGTAAATGGCCCCAGAGAGATCACCTGAAAATTGCTCTGTCTTGTCTGAACACAGTTGAGAGTGCGGCAAAGCATTGGAGAGGACTCACTCATCTAGCCATCCACTTAGCTGCATATAGAAAGCAACTGATGGACTTTGAAATCCCCTATGAATGTTCCAGGAGCACCTGGGTGGCTCAGTCAGTTAAGCATCTGACTTTTGATTCTGGCTCAGGTCATGACCTCAGAGTCATGAGATTGAGTCCCAAGTCAGGCTCTGTGCTGGGTGTGGGACCTGCTTGAGAGTCTCTCTCTCTCTCTTTCTCTCTCTCTCTCTCCCCTTCTGCTCATTCTTTCTCTCTGATAAAAAGAAAGAAAGAAAGAAAGAAAGAAAGAAAGAAAGAAAGAAAGAAAGAAAGAAAGAAAGAAAGAAAGAAGGAAGGAAAGGAAAAGTCCTTATCAAAATTTGTCATTGTTTTTATTTGTTTGGTTACTAGAATCTAGGTTCAAAGAGGCCGAGGCCAAGTATGCTTTTTTTTAGTCATCATTATGTATCCAGATCCAAGCACAGTGCCTGGAATATGTAGGGAGTTTGGGGAGCATAAACATTTACAATCATCAGCTCTTCTTGGTGGATAGATCCCTTAATTATGTTACAATGGCCTTCCTCATTTCATCTCTTGTTACAGTCTTTGTTTTAAAATCTAGTTTGTCTGATATGAGCATGGCTACTTTAGCTTTCTTTGGACGTCCATTAGCATGATAGATGGTTCTCCATTCCCTTACTTTCACTTGGCCCGTGTCCTCAGATCTAAAATGAGTCTCTTGTAGGCAGCATATAGATGGATCTTGGTTTTTATTTCCATTCTGATACCCTATATCTTTTGATTGGGACATTTAGTCCATCTATATTCAAAATGATTATTGAAAGATACGGATTTAGTGTCATTGTGTTATCTGTATGTTTCATATGTCTCTGCTGCTTTCCACTCACAGAGTCCCCTTAGGATCTCCTGTAGGCCTTGTTTAATGGTCATGAACTCCTTTAATTTTTGTTTGTCTGGGAAAGGCTTCATCTCTCCTTCTATTCTGAATGATAGCCTTGCTAGATAAAGAGTTCTTGGCTGCATATTTTTCCCATTCAGCACATTGAATATTCCTTGATACTCCCCTCTGGCGTGCCACGTTTCAGTGGACAGGTCTGCTATTACCCTTATGTGTCTACCCTTTTAGGTTAAGAACCGTTTGTCCCTTGCTGCTTTCAGAATCCTCAATCTTTGTATTTTGCCAGCTTCACTATGATATGTTGTGCTGTTGACCTGGTTTTTTGTTGATTTTGAAGGGAGTTCTCTATGCCTCTTAGACTTGGATGCCTGTTTCCTTTGCCAGATTAGTGAAGTTCTCAGTTGTAATTTGTTTAAATAAACCTTCTGCCTCTTTCTCTTACTGTTCTTCTTCCGGAACACCTATGATACGGATATTGTTTCATTACATGGAATCACTTAGCTCTCTAATTCTCCCCTTGTGATCTAGCTATTTTCATTCCCTCTTTTTTTCATCTTCATCATTTTCCATAATTTTTATCTTGTATTTCACCTATTCTCTCCTCTGCTTCTTCCATCCTCGCTGTTACTACATCTTGTTTATTTTGCATCTCATGTACAGCATTCCTAATTCATCATGACTATTTCTTTGGTCTCTGATATCTGCAGCAATGGATTCTCTGCTGTCTTCTATGCTTTTTTCAAGCCCAGCCATTAGCTATTAGTCTTATGACTGTTTTTCTTAATTCTTCTTCAGATTTATTGTTTACATCTGTTTCAAGCAATGCTCTGGCTGTCATTTCTTCCTGAATGTTCTTTAGAGGAGAATTCTTCCATTTCATCGTTTTGTAGGTTTCTGTCTTTAACGTGTTTTAATAGCTTGTTATGTGCCCTGCACCTGTGATCACTACTATATTAAAAAGGGGTCACATACTGGCCAGGGCCCGGCCCTTCAGGAAGTGTTTTGGAGTGTGTTACATGCACTCTGTTGTTGCATTTTGGCTGCTCTATTCCATTGGACAGACTTCTACAAAGCTCCCCCTTGCTCATAGTGGTGGAGTGTTTGGACCTTTACCAGGTGTGCTTTGATTTGTTCATTGAAGTCACCCTGGAAACAAAGGAAAGGGGTGAGGAGCCTGATCCCATGTAAAGAGAAAAATGAAAGGGGAGAAAAGAAAACCAATCAGAGAATCAAAAAACAAAAAAGAAACATAAAACTATAAGGCTGAATCCAGAGAGAGATGAAGAAAAATAAAGAAGAAGATACAGAAAAGGTGTAAAAAGAATAGAGTAAAAGAGTAAAAATGCCTGATGAAACAAACAAAACAGAAAAAAAAAAAAAGAATTATATATATAAAATAAGAATTGACCCAAAACAAGTCAGAAACTATAAGCCTGACTCCAAAAGAAAGAAGAAAGGGGTAGAAAGAACAGAGAAGAACAGGCAAACCGACAGACAGACAGACAGACTGACAGACAGCCTGACAACAAGAAGTCGTTGTCTGTTGGTGCTGAGACTGGTGGCCGTGCTGGGCTGGAGGGGGGGCCGCCCTGCTCTCTCCTGGTGCCCCCCTGAGATTGGCCCCCAGGCCGGCTTCTTCCCCCGCAGGTGCACACACATAGTGGCTTCCTCTGGAGAGAGTCACACGCTTTTAAAAACTCCGACCTTCAGCTCCTAAGGCTGGTAGAGACTGGCATTCTCTGTAGTTCTTGCTTCTTGTTCCCCAGCCGCGGTCCCAAGAGGTCTGTCTCTTGTCCTAACACAAAACTATAGTCCACAGTTTCTCTTTCTCTCCCATTTGTCTCACCACAGAGGAGGCTTCTTCCCCTCCACACCCTCGTTGTTTTATGTTCTCCAATTCGCATACACGCACCTCCATCCCGCCAAGCTGTCTCCTTCCACCTGTGGAGATTTTTCTCTCACTCCGCAGGTTGATTTCCTGGCTGTTCTAAGTGATCTGACCTCAATACAGCTGTATTTGAAAGTCTAGGGAAATCCCGGTCCCCCTGCTTCTCCTCCATCTTAACTCCTCCTGACATTTCTCAAAAGATATACAAATGACAAACAGGCATAAAGGAAGATGCACATCACTAACCATTCGCTAAACAGAAATTGGAACCACAATGACACCTCACCTCACATGCACTGAGAGAGCCACTATCCAAATGACAGAAAATAGCAAGGGCTGACGGGGATGTGGAGAAATTAGAACCCTGTGCACTGTTGGTGGGATCGTTAAATATCGAGTGAACATGAAAGATCTCATTGGCTTTCTTGGTCAGTTCATGGACTGGGCAACATCCCATCTAGTAAGTAGAGGGGAGCGCCAAAGGGCTACAGGAAAGAAGTGGAAAAAAGGAAATTATTAGCAAAGAATATTGTTTTAGGCAAGGTTATCCTCCATAAGGGAATGGAATGGGTCTATCGAGATACTTCCTAGTGAGAACCAGGAAATCCCCTTGTTGATGAGTTAAAGGCAACATGTCTAAGGGGCTGAAACTGCAGTCAGGTTAGGTATTAAGTCTTGGTTTACTGACTTGGGGGCTTAACCTGAGTGACGCCATTTTAAGCCTATGGTTTTCTTTTTAGCAGGATTTAAAATGGTGCAGCTGCTATGGAAAATCTAATAGAAAGGCCTCAAAAGTGCAAAATAGAACTACCACATGATCCAGTAGTCCCACCTCAATGTCTGTATCCAAAAGAATTGAAAATAAGATCTTGGACAGAGAAAGCACACCCGCGTTCACAGCCGCATTATTCACAATAGCCAAAAGGTGAGAGTACCCCAGATGTCCACTGATGGATGAATAGATGAAGAAAATTATTCATGCAGTGGAATATTATTCGGCCTTTAAAAAGGAAATCCTTCACATGCTACAACATGGATGTACCTTGAAGACATTACACTAAGTGAAATAGGTCAGTGACGAAAAGACAAATACTCTCTGATTCCATTCATATGAGGTCCCTAAAGAAGTCAAACTAATGGAAACAGAGAACAGTAGGGGCTCCTGGCTGGCTCAGTGGGTAGAGCATCCGACTCTTGATCTTGGGGTTGTGATTCCCAGCCCCACGGGAGGTGCAGAAATAACTGAAAAAGAAAGAAAAACACAAAGAATGGTGGTTGCCAGAGGCTATGGGGTAGGGGAGTTGCTGTTCAATAGCCATAGAGTTTCAGTTTTGAAAGATGAAAAATTTCTACAAGTCTGTTGCACAATAATGTGAATACAGTTAACACAACTGAGCTGTACATTTAAAAAAAGTTAAGATGGTAAATTTTATGCTATGTGTTTTTACCACAGTTTTTTTTTAAGAATTATCTGTTTTTTTAAGTTTGTAATTAAGCGCTTTGGAAAAGAAAATAAGAATTTAGAATTTTTGTGTGCTTATATTTTATTTAAAAGGCTTCAAACACAGCTTAGCAATTTTACAAGTCTGGATGTCCATATTTTGCTTTGATTGATGAAGGGCAAACCTTCACATTATTTCATCTCATGGGAGACCCTTTGTATTTTATTTCCTTCTGAGAATAGAATTAAAGAGTCAGGTTTGGGGGCCGCCTGGGTGACTCAGTCAATTAAGTGTCCAACTCTTGACTTGGGTCAGGTCAAGCTCGTGGGATTGAGACCTGCACCAGGGTCCAAGTTGACAGTGTGGAGCTTGCTTAGGATTCTCTCTCTACTTCCTTGTCTGCCCCTCCCTACTCACACTCTCTCTCTTAAAACAATAAATAAATAAACTTTAAAATAAATAAATAAAACAGTCGGATTTGGGGAAATCGTCTGAGTCATATACAAAGTGAGTCTAAATAGATTCAGAAGAAACAAACCTAGATATTCCAAGCATAAAGGCTAATCAATGAAAAAAAAGTGTCATGATTTTAATAAAAAAGAGATTGAGGGCAGACTTACAGGCACCACTTCATCTTTTATTCCTGATACATTCTTTCCTCCTTCTCTAAAGGGAGTCTGTTCTATACTCTGCTGTTATTTGAGCTGCCCAGAATACAAGTATAGATGTGTTGTATTATAAGATTTATTATATGCAAATCTCTTTTGAAAGCAAGAATTCAGTTAGTCATGCAGGCTCTTGTTCATGTTAATGCAAGCCAAGTACTTCCCCATTCCTCTTAAACAGTGAAATAACAAATATGCCAGTGCTTAGGTTGAGAAGAAGGGTGGGTAATTTGGATGTAGGAAGACAGCGGTTTTTAAACATTTTGCCTGTGTATCCCCTAAAAGAAATATGTAAGTCCATATACTGCCTCTCACATTTTAAGTGACATCTAAAATATTAAGTTGAAATAGTTGCAAAGGATGCACTTTCCAGTAAGATGTAAAAATTAACATTTAGAAACAAACTTGCTTTATCACTCTCAAAAATATATCCAGTGAAATCTAATGCAGAAGCAATTGACGCCCACCATCACCTACTCTGAAATTATAAAAACTCTTCTTTTTAAAAATTTTTTTAAGTTTATTTATTTTTGTGAGAGACAGAGAGAGAGCAGGGGAGGGGCAGGGAGAGAGAGACAGAGAATCCCAAGCAGACTCTGCACTGTAAGCACAGAGCCCATCGCTGGCCTCGAGCTCATGAACCGTGAGATCATGACCTGAGCTGAAATGAAGAGTCAGACGCTTAACCAGCTGGGCTACCCAGGCGCTCCCCAAAACACTTCTTTATCCGTTCTGAAATCTTGCTCATTCCTTTTTCTCCCTGAATTCATAGCTCTCTTCCCCAGAGACATCTATCTTTTTTTTTTTTTTGGTAAGTTTTTTATTTTTCATTTTTCAGAGAGAGCGTGAGCAAGGGAGAGAGGCAGAGGGAGAGAGAGAAAATCCCAAGCAGGCTCCGTGCTGAGCGTGGATGAGGGGCTTGATCTCACAATGGTGGGATCATGACCTGAGTGGAAATCAAGAGTCAGATGCTCAACTGAGCCACCAGGGGGCCCAGAGACATTTATCTTAACATAGCATATTTCTTAATCCCCTATCACATATCCTTGCAACAAAAAAGTATACAAATTAATACATTTCTTTCCAAATTTTCTATGACCATAGTCTCTAACTGTTAAAAAAAGAAAGACCTCACACTGAGAAACCAGCTGATAATATACCTCTCCCCTATCTGGCTACAAAATGCTACAACACATTGACCTGTATTCTTCTCATCATCAAATACTCATATTGCTCTGGAAATGTAATTGGATTCGTAGCCTTTTGCCAAAGAAGGTGCTTTCCTGGCACAGGCACTACTTTCTAGCACGAACGCTACAAGGACAGGAAAAAGGGTCAGACAAGTGAGTGGGTAGGAGAAGTTTAAAATTTTTTAAATTGAAAACAACAGCACAACTTTCTTCTGGATTGAATTCCCATCATAACTATTAGTAACATACACTTGGTCAAAACATCACTAGCTCACAACTTTTGATAAATCATTTTGATAAATCATTTTTAAGCATAAGAAGTAAAATTTTGGGGGCATCTGGGTAGTTCAGTCAGTTGAGCGTCCAGCTTGATTTTGGCTTAGGTTATGATCTCTAGGTTTGTAAGTTCGAGGCCCACGTTGGGTTTTTTTGCTCACAATGGGATTCTCTCTTTCTTCCTCTCTCTCTGCTCCTCCCCCACTTGTGCTCTCTCTCACTCTGTCAAAATAAATAAATAAACTAAAAAAAAGTAAAATTTCAGGGGTGTCTGGCTTGGTAAAGTATGCTACACTTGATCTCAGAGTCATGGGTTTGAGCTCCATGTTGGATGGAGCGATTACTTAAAAAATAAATAAATAGGGACACCTGGGTGGCTCAGTTGGTTAAGCGTTCAATTCTTGATTTTGGCTCAGGGCATGATCTCATGGTTCATGAGTTCAAGCCCCATGTTGGGCTCTGGGCTGACAGCAAGGAGCCTGCTTAGGATTCTCTCTCTTTCCCTCTCTCTCTCTCTCTTTCTCTCGAAAGAAAGAAAGAAAGAAAGAAAGAAAGGAAGGAAGGAAGGAAGGAAGGAAGGAAGGAAGGAAGAAAGAAGGAATAAATTGTGCATTAACTGATGAATAGGATTCACTTATAACATTATTAAGTCCTATTAAAGACAGGAAAACATTTTTTTTTAAAAAAGAAAGAAATAGGGGAAACTGAGTGGCTCAGTTAAGTGTCCAACTCTTGGTTTCAGCTCAGGTCATGATCTCACAGTTTTCCTCAAATGAATCCCTGGAGCCTGCTTGGGATTCTTTCTCCCTCTTTCTCTGCCCCTTCCCCTGTCTCAAAATATATAAATAAATTTTTAAAAAAAGAAAGAAAATTACATTAGAAATGCATCTCTTGTGGGGCACCTGGATGGCTCAGTTGGTTAAGACTCTGACTCTTGGGGTGCCTAGATGGCTCAGTCAGTTGGGTGTCTGACTTCGGCTTAGGTCATGATCTCCTGGTCTGTGGGTTTGAGCCTCGAGTCAGGCTCTGTGCTGACAGCTCGGAGCCCGGAGTCTGCTTCAGATTCTGTGTCTCCCTCTCTCTCTGTTCCTCCCCTCCCCATGCTCTCTGTCTGTCATTCTCTCTCTCTCTCTCAAAAATGAATAAACTTAAAACAATAATAAATTAAATATATATTTTTAAAGACTGGCTCTCGATTTCACTTACGGTCCATGGGAGCGAGCCCCACGCTGGGCTCTGTGCTGACAGTGTGGAGTCTTCTTGGAATTCTCCCTCTCTCTGTCTCTCTCTGCCCCCACCCCTCAAAATACAATAAATATTATTAAAAAAAAAAAAAAGAAAAGAAAGAAATGCATCTCTTGAGGCAATGGATGGAGCCTCTTGCTTCCAGTAGTGCAGGTGTGTGTGACTATATGTTACTTCTTTCCTGATGGAGACATCACTGGTCTTGTTTTCAGTATCAGGGGGTGAAATTTTGCGATAGGAGCAAACTCCTCATAGGAGTCTGCTTGAGTCTCCTATGCCCCTTGAGTCTTTGAATTCCTTCTGAGTTACAGGTCAGAAGCCACTTAGTGAACTTTCATCAAAAATCATTCAATTCAGGGGCTGGCTCAGGTGGAAGAGTGTGGAACCCTTGATCTCCAGGTGGTGAGTTCAAGCCTCAAGCTGGGTGTAGAGATTACTTAAATAAAAAAATTATTTCCAATCAGATGTTAAGCATCAACAGCTGCTAATACCACAAAAGAAAAGTCACTACCCAACATTATGCACGGCACAACAGAGGGGCACGTCACCATCTTTGGAGTAGATGTGCCAAAACATCAATCCTAATCCGATCGAACCTTAGATCTGATCACCAACTTACAGGAAATACAAGGAAAAAGGAGCGTGCTGCATGACGCATGCGGATGCAAAACGCAGATGGTGAGCAAGCGATCTGGTTTCATTAACAACTCAAGTGCAAGGTAAAAGAGAGTTCATCTATTTTCCATTTTGATTTAAACAAGCAAACTTCAGAGAAGGAGAAACAGGGAGATTGTGACATATATGAGACGCAAAAAGCTTTAGCGCTCACTAAAGACTTTAGCTAATTAGTGTCTAATATGAGACACTAACTTATTTTGGGTGAGATAATGACATCGTGGTTCCTTGTATTTTGAAGGCGTAACCCAACAAACTGGAGTTCGCTCCTGGTGAGTTCCAGGTAAAGGCTTCACCAGGCGGAGTTGTCATACAAAGCACACTTTGTCTGCAGGAAATAAGATCACTGAGGATAATTTCCAAAGCCGTGACTCCCCGACCAGGGTGAGTGG